AGAGACAATATCTAAATGAAAGCTGGGATTCTCACGGAATTCCTTCCTAGTGTTTTGGTTTAAAGAAAACACCCAATCAGCACTATCCCTAATAAACTGTGAGAATTGACAACTCAGGAAATAGTAAAACCTTTCTTGATCAATGATTCCTTTTCTCAGGAGCCAGAACAGGTTTTATACCGGAAGAATATGCCTTAGGAAATTATCCTTTTTTTTTTTTTTTTTAATGGCTTGCTATCTTGGCAATGACACTGACTTCTGTAGCAGTGAGATTTCTAACAGCTGAGTCTTTTCTAGGCATGACAGGTCACTTTTCCGTTTGTGAAAAGAGAACAAATTCTACTAATTCAAGCAATTATGTTCTTGAAAATTTAATCCTTAGCCACAAACAAATATTAAAGCAAAACATACATGCAGTAATGAAGGGTAATTCTTAAATTGAAGCCATGTCATATGGTTCATCATTGCAATAGCAATAATGCTGCTCTGTGGTGTTTTGCTTTGCCCTAGTCTTATTGATGATCAGTGAGTGGGAGTTTTGGTTCCCTAATTCTCATCAATATTATCAGAAATCTCAGGTATTTAAGCTTCTCCCATATCAATAGGAAGTCTGGCTGTACCATTCAGAACACAGATACTGTGCAGATAGCACAGTACTCTTAGAGGTGAACAACTGTACAGATGCAAATATTTAATTTGACCTGTAATGTGAATATCTTTAGTTGTTTTATTTTGAAGCTTATCCACACAAAGAGGAACTCCTCTTTCTTTCTCCACTAGCATCCTCTCACTGGGTTAAGGTCTGTGTCAAAACACTGGTGCGTTCTTTTGAGGGTACTTGTCTACTTGAGTGCATGGATGTGAATGGAGATTCATCATTGCTTTCGTAGAGGTGGATTAAATTTCCTTCAGTATAATTTAACAAACATACATGGAGAAGACACTGTTCTGGGAAAAGCCTGTTCTAACAGCAGCTTGTTTTGAAACACATGGATTAATAAAATGGAGATTGTTTTGCATTTATTGTAAACGCTTCCTGTGCTCTGTGGTCTAGGTTTGACTTGTAATCAAATCATAGTATTTCAGGGAAACTTACAATAAGTAGGAAAGCAACTCATTTATTCCTAAGCAGCTAACCAAACCTTTTACAGATGCTAGCTAATAGAAGAGCTCTGTTAAGCTTCTCTAACCTTTTCATTATAATGTTATATCTTCAGTAGTATATGATGTTATGATTCTTAAGCTGTCAATCTAAGTGCTGTGTTTCTGCCTAAGGCTTTTTGGAATGCTTCCTCTAAACTATTATGGAAGTTTTGAGAAAAACAGTAGGAAAGAAAAGCATTCCTTGGCCTGTGCTAAAAGAAAACAAGTTCTCTGAGCAGTAGAACAAACAAAGCCCTGTCTTCCTACAGGTGTGTCTCCTCTGTCTCCCGAGTCCCTGTTACAATGTTCTTAGTTCCACTGCATTAACTTAAAGTCCCTAACATATCCAGATAGTCCAATACTATGCAAGCAATTGTCTTTACAGATCCAAGAGTTTTTGGAGTCCCCCCTTTTTCTTAAACCGTTTGTATACCTCTCCACATTGTTAAATTGTCACTGTAGTCTATTCCTGGATTTCAGTAAAACTCCTACTTGTAAAATTCTGTAAGTTTATACAGAATTCATAAGTTCATGGGTAGCATATGTCCATATGTTTGTTTAAAGAATTGTACAAATATAGAGTCTTATAGGACCCTCATGAGTTAGAAAAAAAAGCATTACTTTCTTTCTAGTTGGAAACCATGATTTAAAGGCAAATGGTAGCAGTTTTCTGAGAACGCAGGTTAACGGAGGCAGAGTTGCAATCACATATCAGGATTTTGGATTTCTTGCCATGTGCTCAAGCCACTAAGCCCACTTTCTTGCCAATAGAGAGTGAAACAGCTGCTAGATGGAGTCTCTATACTGACTTTCCTATAAAATATCAAACTCTTGTTTTGCATCCATTTAGAAACACCTCTGGGTTGTTGACTGCAGTTCTGCCTTCTGCACCATCTTTATTAAGAAGAACCTCCCTGCCTATTATTTGTCAGTTGCTCAATTAGCTGTTTTATGAAAGTCTTCCTGTATATTAATTTATACAATGTAAAGTACTTCAGGATCAACATTTCTATGTACACTTAGAGCAGCTATAACTAGTAGCAGGAAATGAAACACTGCAACAGAAGTTTTCTGATCAAAAAAAGTTATCTTTTATTTTAAAATGTAAGAAAACCAAGCACAGTAATCCATTGAGCTGTTCAAGTGAAACAATATTTATAAGAACATTTCATGTTCCTTACCCTGAACTTCTCATCTTGTCAAATCAATACAACATATTTTCCTTGAAAGGGAGAATCAAATAGGCCATAATTTTACTGCAGGGCTTTTATTAATGCTTTGCCAAAAACATGATTTGAATAAGAAACATTTATACCAACAGAGAAGAAAAGAGAACTCACAAAAGCAATTTTAACCCTACCAGCTCTTGAATTCTTGTTCTTATGAGACAGGACAAGTCATTTTGTGGGGTATCAAAGTCAGGCATCTCTGCACTCTGAAAGGATCACCCAAGCCTACACCAGACGATACCAGTAATACCTAGTTTGAAAGCTGCTTCAAAAAAGGCAAACAATTATAGCATACTTTTTTTCCCTATATGAATCCTGTCCCCTTCCATCAGCCTTGGATCCTAAGACTATTTTAACTAAGTAGCCTCAAGTGTGCAAAATCATTCATCAAATTTGCAGATTTTGTGTTAATGAACAGTATATGCAATAGTTATGGGCTTTACTAATGTAAATTGATTGAATTCCATTGATATCATGGAAACCATATTACACTGATTTTCATCAGCTGAGGAGCTGAGCAGATGATCATGCAGTTTTGGTAGTACTCAAATTTATTTAATTCAGTAAGAAGACATTGCGACTCACATTTAAAATATTTGCCTATAGAGGAAGGGAGATTTCCTATTCCAACCTTTCCACAGAGCTCTACAATCTTTCGATTTTACATTTCTTCTGTATTCTTTTCTGATACTTCCTACTGAAACTAACAGTATCAGTTACAATAATCTTTTAGGAAATTTAGAGAACGATATAATGGATCTCTTTGGCAAAAAATGAGGCTTCTTTCTAGTAGTGTCACTCTTCTCCCCACTGCAATTGTAAGCTCTTGGAATTTACATGAAACATATGCAGAGATAAGAGGAAGTATCCTTTTAAGAGTGATGTCACTCCATCCTGGCTGATGCATTTTGGGAACCATCGATGCCCTGGTGATGGTAAAACTGAGCAGCTGTGCCAAGTGTTTCAAAAATGAGATAAATCAAAAGGGGATCAACCACAGGTGTTTTTCCCTGGATTTTTTTTTTTTTTTTTTTTTTTTTTTTGTGAGGGTAAATAAATCCTCTCTAATCTTTTACTACCTGGAACCTCCAATTCACATATGAAAAGAAAGATAAAAAATATATAGTACAAATATAAAGCAACTATATATATATATATAGTAGTATAAAGCAACTATCAGTTTCTGTGGTTTACTAGCTAGCAAGTCAGCTCTGTCCTCAATGTGAGGCTGAAGAGGTGCATCATTTTTAGGAAAATGTGACTGTAGTACACAG